GGAGCACGGAGCCGGGGGGCCCGCGCGCCCCGTGCCACGCTCGGCCGCCTTCCTTCCAGAAGAAGCGGTGAACGAGGTGAAGCGTCAGGCCATGTCCGAGCTGCAGAAGGCCGTGTCGGACGCCGAGCGGAAAGCCCACGAGCTGATCACGACGGAGCGGGCCAAGATGGAGCGAGCCCTGGCCGAGGCCAAGCGCCAGGCTTCGGAGGACGCCCTGACCGTCATCAATCAGCAGGAGGACTCGAGCGAGGTGGGGGCCGGCAGCGGCGAGCCGGGGGGCACGGGCTCGGTGGCAGCAGGGCGTTTGGGACCTGGTGCTTTTGCCATCAAGTTTGCAGCGTCTGCGCACGCGAGCCTGCGTAGCGGGGGGCTGCGGCTACACCGCGGGGGGGGAAGAAAAGGGGATTTGGGGTTTTCTTGCGCTAAGCTGGGGATGGGGTGCATGGTCCAGGGTGGGGGAGCACGGTCTGGCTTGGGGATGCACAGCCCGGGATGGGGATGCACGGTCCGGGATGATGTGCGTGGTCAGGGATGGGGTTCGTGATCCAGCATGGGGGAGCACAGTCTGGGATGGGGTGCGTGGTCCAGGATGGGGTGCATGGTCTGGGATGTGGGTTCATGGTCTGGGATGTGTGTGCATGGTCCAGGATGTGGGTGCGTGGTCCAGGATGGGGATGCACAGCCCGGGATGATGTGCATGGTCCGGGATGGGGTTTGTGGACCAGGATGGGGGAGCACAGTCTGGGATGTGGGTGCATGGTCTGGGATGTGGGTTCATGGTCTGGGATGTGGGTGCATGGTCTGGGATGCGGGTGCGTGGTCCAGGATGGGGATGCACGGCCTGGGATGATGTGCATGGTCCGGGACGGGGATGAATGGTCCAGGATGGGGGGACATGGTCCAGGACGGGGGAGCACAGCCTGGGATGTGGGTGCATGGTCTGGGATGTGGGTTCATGGTCTGGGATGTGTGTGCATGGTCCAGGATGTGGGTGCGTGGTCCAGGATGGGGATGCACAGCCCGGGATGATGTGCATGGTCCGGGATGGGGTTTGTGGACCAGGATGGGGGAGCACAGTCCGGGATGTGGGTGCATGGTCCGGGATGTGGGTTCATGGTCTGGGATGTGGGTGCATGGTCCGGGACGGGGATGCACAGCCCGGGATGATGTGCATGGTCCGGGATGGGGTTTGTGGACCAGGATGGGGGAGCACAGTCCGGGATGTGGGTGCATGGTCCGGGATGTGGGT